GAAGGGTCGGATCTTTCTGATGTTATAGAGTGCAAATCTGCACGATCGAGCAGTTCTAGAAATGTGGTCAGAGAAGTTTAGTTGGTCATCAATCGTTACTCCAAGGCTTTTCACCATTTTGGATGCAGTAATGGTTGCCCCATCCATCCGGATTGAAAAGTTATGGTGTAGAGTCGGGTTGGCAGAAACTACAAGCATTTCCGTTTTTGCGAGGTTCAGCTGAAGATGATGATCTTTCATCCAGTGTGAAATATCCAACAGGCAGGCTGAGATACGAGCTGGAACCGAGGGATCATCAGGATGAAAAGAGAGGTATAGCTGGGTGTCATCAGCATAGCAGTGGTAGGAGAATCCATGTCTCTGGATGACTGGTCCTAGAGATGATGTGTAGATGGAGAAGAGAAGTGGCCCAAGAACAGAGCCTTGAGGTACCCCAGTGTTTTGAGGCGTTGCGCTACGCTGTTTAAATAGCAAATGCATTAGCGCTCGTTTTTGCGCCCATAGGCGTTCTGGTCTAAGAAGGAAGGCGTTCTGAGGCGGACCGCTGGCGTGTTGCTATTTTGAGAAACTATAATAGATTTTTCATTAGACCTAAACTAACCCGGTCTAAACTCTGGGTCAGAGTTGCGCCTCGCTTACACACTGCTTAATACCTACAAGAGAGCAATAGGCAAATATCTTTACATATGAAAACAATTTAAATATTAAGGATATATATAGGATATAATAAGAATAGATATAGGATATAAATATAAAGGATTAAAATATTACAAAACATATTATTTTCTAGCCTACATAAATATGAAAAATCACTGCTTTTATGTCTTCTTCATCTCGGGAGGCTTTTTCAGTTCATTCATAACAATTTGCTTTTGATTAATATTATTATTATTAGCAGTATTATTTATTATATCCATATTTATATTTGTTTATTAAAAACAAGCTTAGATTTGCCCACCTGTCAGGTTTTAGACCATCTGGGGCACAGCATGTGTTTTAGGATATAACTCAGGTTTTTGAACACACTTCGTTATTGTTGTTCATTTATTCGTTTGCTGGAAATTAGAACTGAATTTAGAAATAGTTTTGAAACAAATCTTTGCGCTTAACAAACTAAATTAGTTATTTATAGGCTAATTGATGTCTGTGCGTAAAGGTTTCCCTATCCAAGAGCGAAAGTGAAAGTAGATCATTTATCTCTCATTGTCACGCAGTAAATGCTCTGTTTATCAGTTTTCTGTTAAAAAAAAACTGTTAACTGTTTGCTAGTGAAATGCTCATTTTTTCCACTTAGACTTACTTTGCGTCCTGTAAATAGCGAATGCGCTCTTGGCGCGACGCAGCTGGCTCTTAAAGGGAATGGGAGATGAGACTCTAATTGGTTTATTCTCAAAACACACCTATAACTCATTAAGAAAATAAACTTAACCCTTTTAGTCCATGCGCCGCGGCGCAGGGCCGGTTTTCCCGTCCTTAAATTAGCAAAAACGCGTCCTGACACGCCCTGAAAGCATTTGCGCCCTGCGTTTTGCGCTCTGCGCATGGACCGTCAAAATAGAGCCCAATATCACTTTTCAGTGCAGCTAAATGCCAAGTACAAAAAGTTTACATATAAAGCAATTTGGCTTTAAGAATGAGTGCTTATGAAAATACTAATGTCACAATATTAATCACAGGCAAAGGAGAAAGAAATGATTGAGGAACAGGCAGAGCAGGGTCAGTCAGATGCACAGTGTCAGGTAAGGGTGTTTTAAAATGTTTTTGGAGTTGTGGCTGTTCAGCAGATTTCACAGGCTCACCTATTTACAACATGATCGGTCAATTTAACAAGTGTAATGTAAACTAGTTATTATGAGTATGGAAAATGTCTTTTCCTGCATTTATTCTGCTTCAGGAGTCAGTCTGTTGACTGTAAACAACACAACAAACAATGCAATAAGTAGTTTTTAAGAAAAAATTGCTTTATCTTTGAACCTGATAAAAGCTTTGAAAAATAATCATAATGACGTAGTCTCCATGCTATAATAATAATGATGAAACCATTTCTAACTGCAGGGACATATCTTTATTAGTATTATCTAGACATATCTTAATTCGGCTGTATTATTTGTGTCCCCTTCAAAAAAAATGCTTGTAAGAAATTTTATATTTATTGTCCGCCCCTACTGTTAAATCAGATTTACGCCCATGACTATACCTACACACACTTTTGTCCAAACAGCTTACAAAAGTTGATTTTCATCATAGGTGCCCTTTAACAAACAAGAAAACAAAGCCAAAACCAATATAAAAACAGTTCATATATCATCAGTGTAAAGCCTGACGCATCTTTGACTTGATTTCCAGAGTAATCTTAGCGTTCCTCTTCCTCGTCGACAGTCTGTCACCTCTCCTCCTGACTGAATACAAACAGACTGCAGACAGCGAGAGGTTAAGATTCTCATGACCCTGTTATGTTAATCTTCCTCTCTGTCTGCTTGTTTGCTTTCATTTGCGAGCGTGTTCTCAGAAATTGCCCAGATATTTATGTCATTAATCACTGCCTGTAAGACACATCGCCGCGGATGGAGGTGTTAAGCTGAACGCCTGTATATGCTCGTGAATTCTCCGATCTGGAGCTATGGAGGTGTTTTGAGACTGAATTAGATCAAAGTGGGCCTCGTGTAAGGATTACAGGGGCGAGGAAAATACAGCAGGCGTAATATTGACAACTCGAACACAGAATTGGAGTGAAACAAGATGATGTGGACAGCAACAAGGCTTTTTTTTTCGTGATGTTAGGGGCTTAGGACTGTGGGGTATATAAGTAATGCTACTGATCTTTTGTGGAGATGTAAAATTCATTGTTGTTGTTTTCGTTTGAGCTGCTGATTGATTTCAGAAAATTGTGCAATCGGCATGTAATACCTCGGCACCTCGAGTGCATTTGGAGAAACTTGATAAGCAGGCAGATGTTTTATTAAAGGTCTTTGCGCACCAAGGGCCCTATCATACACCCGGCGCAGTGGGGCACAAGACGCGACGCAATAGTCTTTTGGTAGTTTCAGCTTGGCGCAAGAGTCATTTTGAGGCGTTGCGCTACGCTGTTTAAATAGCAAATGCATTAGCGCTCATATGTGCGCCCATAGGCGTTCTGGTCTAAAAAGGAAGGCGTTCTGAGGCGGACCGCTGGCGCGTTGCTATTTTGAGAAACTAAAATAGATTTTTCATTAGACCAAAACTAACCCGGTCTAAACTCCGGCACAGAGTTGCGCCTCGCTTACACACTGCTTAATACACACAAGAGAGCAATAGGCAAATATCTTTACATATGAAAAAATTTAAATATTAAGGATATATATAGGATATAATAAGAATAGATATAGGATATAAATATAAAGGATTAAAATATTACAAAACATATTATTTTCTAGCCTACATAAATATGAAAAATCACTGATTTTATGTCTTCTTCATCTCGGGAGGCTTTTTCAGTTCATTCATAACAATTTGCTTTTGTTTAATGTCATTACTATTAGCAGTATTATTTATTATATCCATATTTATATTTGTTTTATTAAAAACAAGCTTCGATTTGCCCACCTGTCAGGTTTTAGACCATATGGGGCACAGCATGTGTTTTAGGATATAACTCAGGTTTTTGAAGACATTTTGTTATTGTTATTCATTTATTCGTTTACTGGAAATTAGAACTGAATTTAGAAATAGTTTTGAAACAAATCTTTGCGCTTAACAAACTAAATAAGTTATTTAAAGGCTAATTGATGTCTGTGCGTAAAGGTTTCCCTATCCAAGAGTGAAAGTGAAAGTGATCCATTATCTCTCATTCTCACGCAGTAGATGCTCTGTTTAACAGTTTTCTGTTAAAAAACTGTTAACTGTTTGCTAGTGAAATGCTCATTTTTTCCACTTACACTTACTTTGCGCCCTGTAAATAGCGAATGCGCTCTTGGCGCGACGCAGCTGGCTCTTAAAGGGAATGGGAGATGAAACTAATTGGTTTATTCTCAAAACACACCTATAACTCATTAAGAAAATAAACTCAACCCTTTTAGAACATGCGCCACGGCGCAAAGCAGATTTTCCCGTCCTTAAATTGGCAAAAACGCGTCCTGACACGCCCTGAAAGCGTTTGCACCCTGCGTTTTGCGATCTGCGCATGGACCGTCAAAATAGAGCCCCAAGCATGATAACTATAAAGATAACAATAAAGATGTTCAAGTTTGTGTATTTATGGAGAAATTGAACACATTCTCATCACTACTGAGCTGTAATCAAGTATTTTTATGTAGGAATTGCATTTTTCAATACAGCGACAGCAGTATTTTCTCATCCACTAATCATCGTCATAATGACAGAAAGATGAAGTGACTCTGGTGGGAAGTTTTGTCTTGGATTCCCCAGTCATTCGGAGTCTTTGTTTTTAGCTGATGTTTTATTATTTCCTTTGCCTCTCTCCAGAGCTCCACGCGTCTGCTGTTTCTCCATTGTTAAATCTGCGCCTTTTATTGACACAACACTGATCACTATCTGCCAACGAGAATATCCTTCATCTTTGTTGTCTTTTTTTGAAGCATTTTGTGGGAAAAGGTATTGACGCTGGAGAATAACAAATGCCCGCTGCCAATATAGACAGGCGTCGGAGGCGTCCATGGAGATTTGAGCACATTTATTAGCCTGATCTACTGCCAAAGATCCCATCAAAGTGATAAGAGGATGGACAGGGCCAAGACGTTTTGGACTGGAAGCACCCGGAGGCCGAACTCTCTCAGGAGATTACAGGATGAGTCGGATTAGAGGCCATGAGATTATGAGATATTAGCTTTGATAATGGACTGTGTGCTTGGTCTGTGATAATGTAAGAATTACCATCTGATTGGCTGAAGGTCTCGGGCTAACAGGATTCTCTCTCTCTCTCTCTCTCTCTCTCTCTCTCTCTCTCTTTCTCTCTCTCTCTCTCTCTCTCTCTCTCTCTCTCTCTCTCTCTTTCTCTAACACAGATGCAGATCTTCATGTATAACTCGGATGACTTTGACAGCCTTAACACAGCCATACGGGAGAAGCGAGTAATTGCGGCCATGGCTGTCTTCTTTCAGGTGAGAGCTGACTCGTTTGAAAGCATCTTCATGTTTAGCCGCCGTGCTTTGTCAGTGCTAAGTGCTAGCATTAAAAAGCATTGATTTTGTAACAAGGTTCTCTCTTGTCCCATTAAGTTCAGTGATACTGAAGATTCTCACTCAGAGAAAACACACTGCTGCTGTTTTCTATATGGAAAAACACGCGCACACTTTCCACGCTGCTCCTTTGTCGAGCCCGCTGCGCTAATCACAAAACAACAATTTAAGGCTCACAATCCTTTGCTAGAAACTGTGTGTGTGTGTGTGTGTGTGTGTGTGTGTGTGTGTGTGTGTGTGTGTGTGTGTGTGTGTGTGTGTGTGTGTGTGTGTGTGTGTGTGTGTGTGTGTGTGTGTGTGGGTTTGTATTCTCACATTTTGAGAAATTACACATCTGTCAGTTCAGTCAGGCTGTAATAATCCCGAGTTCAAAAGACTCATCAAACACTTCAAGAAACAATTGGCAAAGAGCATAGCGGGAGCGAGTGTGTGAAGTCTTGCCTTCAGATTGTCCCCGCAGTATATAAACCTTCTTCTACACTGTAATAAGCGATTCATTGACTTTACTTTAACAAAAAGTGAGTAAACATGTTGCCTTAAAATTGTTAAGTAAATTAATTTTGTGTTTAGTTTTAAAATTTAAAGTCAAATGGGACCTATTATGCCCCTTTTTGCAAGATTTAAAATTTGATAAATATTCTGATTTACAGGTTACGCTAGACAGACCCCAAATAATATATATATATATATATATATATATATATATATATATATATATATATATACAGTTAAAGTCAGAATTATTAACCCCCCTTTGTGTTTTTCTCTTTTAAATATTTCCCAAATGATGTTTAACAGAGCAAGGAAATTTTCACAGTATGTCTAATAATATTTTTTCTTCTAGAGAATGTCTTATTTGTTTTATTTCAGCTTGTATAAAAGCAGTTTAAAATTTTTTTTAAACATTTTAAGGTCAATATTAAGCTATTTTTTTCTTCGATGATCTACCTAATTACCCTAATCTGCCTAGTTAAACCTTTAAATATCACTTTACGCTGTATAGAAGTGTCTTAAATAATATCTAGTAAAATATTATTTACTGTCATTATGGCAAAGATAAAAGAAATCAGTTATTAGAAATGAGTTATTAAAATTATTTTGATTATAAATGTGTTGAAGAAACCTTCTCTACGTTAAACAGAAATTGGGGAGAGAAAAAAACAGGGGGGCGAATAATTCTGATGTCAACTGTGTTTTTGTATACATCATTTACCATAGTAGGTAGCCTACTATGTTAGGTGTGCAATCTGACACAATGACACAAATCATAAAAATATGATGTCAAGACAAGATCAAAAGTGTTCTACTTTGCCAGTATTTAACCAATAGCGTCTCTGCAACAAAGTGATGTCATGCCGCACACATTGCCCCTTCTGTGTGAAGTCAAGAAAGAGGTCTAAGTCTGTGCCACTGCATAACTATAGATATGTTAAAAACACCTCACCATTTTTCTCACCAAGGGGCTGTTGAATTTTCACCAGATGTTGGTAACAACCAAAGAAATCTATATATGAAAAGAAAACAAATCTAATTAGCTTATAAATTAAGTTATGTGTAATAAAATGACACAAAATAAAAATGGAAAATTAAATGTTCATTCAATACAGGCTCATTGTGAAAACGTACCCCTGTATACATTTCTGGAGAGCACGAATTATGTAGCCAAAGCCACGTTTGGCTGCATTTTAAATGAACAATGGTATGGCGACTTGAGACACAGAGAGGAGTTGACCGTGACGATCAAAAATGGCAAAGAACGATTCCAGAAAGCAGCTAAAACAAAAACAAAAGGCAAAAAACAAATAATCAAATACAAAAGAGGGTGAGAGCATGGTAATGTCTGAAAGCGTTAAAAATCAGGCTTTCTTTTTCTGGATTGCTTTTAAAAAGTTTGGATACGTTTAGGGAAGGGGGTATTCGGGTCAACCTATGCTTTTAAAAACACTATTGGTTGGATTTAGGGAAGGGGGTGGGTGTGGTTATCAGTTGATCGATTGGTCAGTTAGTCAAGAGCGACATCTGGTGGATTTTCGTGAGAACAGCAGGCGTGAAAAAACGCCTGGGAAATATTTCACACTGTCCAGAAATGTATAGAGGGGTACGCATCAATAATGAGCCTGGGCTGGTTTCATTATTACAGGCATCATTAGAAATGGACTGAAAATTTAATTGTGGAGCGTTACACAGACCTGTTTGCTAGACAAACATTAAAATCTTCTCCACTGGGTTTTTGTGGAGTGCAAAAGAAATTCTGCACGTCACCACCAAAACTCAGAAGACTAATCAACAATGACATTTCAAGATTTCAATTTGAAGGGAAAGCCTATAAATCTTGCCTGACTTGAGTTTATTTCCCTCCAAACCCTCCATTTCATTCTCGTTTTCAGTTATCTAAGGAAATCCTTGTAACGTGTGTCTCGCTCGATATCTCTTTTTATTTGGAGCACCATCGTCTTTATTGCCCAAACATTTAGTCTATCTGTCCCTGATCAAGGAAGGTAGCAGTTGTAACATCTGCCATGATGCATTCACGGGCTTATTTACAAGACACATGTCTACACGTTATAAGCGCAGCAATTAGCGGTTAGCATTTAGCCAGAGTTTTTCCTTAATACAATTTGAAGGTTTGTTGGTGGCCCAGGACTCTTTCAGGTTGTATATAATTTATTTGTTGGTTATTGTTTCACGTTATGGCCATGGACTGGACTGCTTTATAGCTTGCAGTTATTTGCATTCCTCATTTACTTTTAATCAATAGCAGGGCTTACTTCTCTTTTTTCCTCTCTCTTCATTCTGTGGTACAGCTCACAGCTGCCGTATTAAACCCCTCACTCTGAGCTCAATACAATAAATGAGCGTTTTTATTTTCCATCTGCTTAAATGGTCTTTGAACTTTATCGATTTGCATGTGCTATTTTTACTTGTGAGGTGAAGCCGAGCTCTTAAACTGAGTTTAAAGCAGTTTGCTGCTGTTTATTTTACCTCAGGGTTTGTTCTACAAGGAAGTGCAGGTGTTTGTGGGTTGTGGATGACCTCTAGCCGGCATGCACTCATTTGTAGATTGCCTACAGTACTGCTACCCATATAAACACAATGTTGAACATAATATTCATTTTAATAAAGATAGAATTTTAAATATAAGATAAACTTAAAGGGTGTCACGGTGGCGCAGTGGGTAGCAAGATCACCTTACAGCAAGAATGTTGCTGGTTCGAGCTTCAGCTGGGTTAGTTGGCATTTCTGTGTGAAGTTTGCATGTTCTCCCTGTGTTGCTGTGGGTTTCCTCCGGGTGCTCTGGTTTCCCTCACAGTCCAAAGTCATGCGCCAGAGGTGTATTGAATAAGTTAAATTATAAATATATTTTTCATAAAGGGGTTAATAATCTCAACATGGGCTCATTGTGAAAACGTACCCCTGTATACATTTCTGGAGAGCGCAAATTATGTAGCCAGAGCTGCATTTCAGCTTTAAAACGAATGCTACTGAGCGGTTTGACGCTTTGGACAGCTTCTGTTCCTTTTCGCGCTACCAGCTGACTGCTTATCTCCATGCTTACGGCTTTTCCACTGTTACCAGTTTGCTCAGTTGCTCGCCACGTACGTCGGTGGACTTAAGACAAAGAGGGTAGTTGTCTGGACAACATGGTTCGAGTCTGCTATAGAACGGTTCCAGAAAGGAGGTAAAACAGGAAACAAAAGGCAAAAAATAGAACAAGGTGACAACGTGGTAAGATCTGAAAATGTGATAAAAAAAAAAAATCAGGTGGCCGTGAGGGCTTTTCTTTTTTTGGATTGCTTTTGAAAACTCTGTCGGTTGGGTTTAGGGAAGGCGGTGGGTGGGAGGTTAGGTCAGTCAGTCAGTCAGTCAGTCAGTCAATAGCAGCCTCTGGTGGATTAACGTGAGAACAGCAGGTGCAAATGCCACTCGCGAAAGAAAATTGAGATCTAAAATGGCATACACGGTGGCCTCTGGTAGATTTGCAAAAACAAAAACTCAAAAAAAAAAAAAACTCCTAGTACGTATTTCACACTGTCCAGAAATATATATAGGGGAACATATCAATGATGAGCCTGGGTTGAATAATATTGAAATTAAAATTAATTTTTTAACATGAAAAACTGCTTTTTGTACATGATGATGATAATAATAATAATAATAATAATAATATATTATGACCCACTGTCCTCCAACAAAACTTCATTCTTCACAAACAAAAGAGAAAAAAAACTATTATAGGAATATTATGAAAATTGCTCTGTCAAACATCACTTGGGAAATCTTTGAAAAAGAATTACAATTTCACAGGAGGGCTAATAATTTTGCTTTCGACTGTAATTGATGACACAGTTTTCCTTTGTGCAGTAAACCATCCCTTTAAGTGTCCTCCATTGTCAGTCTGATGTTGTTGACTTGCTGAGACCTCACACCGTCTCTCTCTTTTCCTCCGGCCCCGACACTTTTGGCCTCGTCATTTTTCACACGCTCTGGCCGTAGCTGTCCTGAGGCCAGCCATTCCTGCTACTAAAATAAGAAAAATATGCCGCTTGCAGATTCCGTGTTTTGCTCTACACACAGTGCCACTCCAATCTCCTCATGCTTCAAAGAACAACACATCTGTCAGAGCACATCTATCTATCTATCTATCTATCTATCTATCTATCTATCTATCTATCTATCTATCTATCTATCTATCTATCTATCTATCTATCTATCTATCTTCTATCTATCTTCTATCTATCTATCTATCTATCTATCTACGTCATCGTCGTCTGTCCGTCCGTCCGTCTGTCTATCTATCTATCTAGCTATCTATCTAGCTATCTATCTATTTTTTTATATCTGTCTGTGTCTGTTGTTCTGTCAGTCTATGTGTCGGTTGGTTCTTTGTCTGGCTATATGTCTGTTGTTTGGTCAGTCATTAT